CGCTCTTCCAGTTCCATGTTTGATTCTTCTAGAAGCTTCTCTTGCTCCTCTGCTTTTGCCAGCAAATCCACTCCTCCAACAATCACCTTCTTCTCCAGTGCAGACAGTTTCTCCAGGAGGGACTGGTGCTCTTGTCTAGAGACAGGTAAGTGACAAACTTTCTATCCTGCAGAGCTCACAAGGCAGCAGGTCCAGCTTGGTTTGACAGCCCAGACAGCATTCACAGGGCTGGAAAAACTTGTCCTGCTGCCAAGGGTTTAAGTGGGGGTGAGGCAGTGCTAGTGAATGCAGGGAGTTCCCTGAGCTCCAGCTCCCATCCCTTTCTCACAAGCCAAACCAGGTCAGCAGGGAAGTCTCTCCTGCTGCAGGTCCCCCCTGCAAGGGGCTGTGAGGTACCAGTGATGTTTCCAGGCCTCCCAAACGTGCCCTCCCCAGGGCCCTGCCAGCACAGTGATGCAGAAACGTAAGAAATGAACAGGAACCATGGCAGGGCAGCTGAGATGCCAACCAGGAACACTGGCTGCTGCTGGAGCAGCCTCTGCCAGCAGGACTGTCCTGTCACATGGGCCAGTACAACCTCAGCAGCCTTTCAGCTCCAGAGCTGAGAGCCCCTACATCCAAAAACCAAGATGACTACACAAACTGTCCAGAGCAGTGTACTCACTGAGCTTTAAGCAAGTCTTTTTCTCTCTTCTCCAGTTCAGCTCTGGCTTTATTTCTTTCTTCTTCTTCCATATCAAGCTTAGTTTCAAGAGCCTTTCTCTCCTCTTCAATCTTTGCTTGCATCTCTATCATCTTATCAGGGGAAACTTTCTTTTTGCCTTTGGAAGAGGTAGGAAAACAAGTCAGTCAAATAAAACAGGCTCTGTATCACAGCCTTTTTTTCCAAGTTCAGATTCAACACTTGCATTTAAGAAAAAATAATTTAATTAGATGCTCCAAGCTAAGCACAGTTCAGTCTTTCAAATCCCATTTTAACATTAACCAGTTGTCAGCAGTTCCTAAAGAGGAGGAGCACTATCTAACCAACACTATAACATAACTCCCTCAAAATAGAAAACATGAACACTTGTAGGAAAACTGCCTAAAGAGGAATCTGAGCTGGAAACTCAGCTGTTCTAACTCTGTAGATTAGGCCAAATGAAGGAAAACAGAAGATTGCCTTGACCTACAGCTACAAGAGCCAAGCTATCAAGAGTTACACACCCAAATGTCAGTCACCATCTCTATCATCCCCCACCTTCACTGTCCTCCTCCTGGGGTTACCTGCTGCAATGTCAGCACACAGACAGTTTAAGAATGCACTACTATAAAATTGCAGAGACTAGGGAAATTCAGAACAGCCTTATGAAAAAAACAAACTTTCTGATGCTGTTTGATCTACACAACAGTGACCACCCACGGATTTTCAAGTACTTGGTTTGCTGTGACTTTTCAATTGTCTTTACAGTGTAAATATTATTCCAGCAAACCAGGTACACTTCATAGAAGGTCACACTGGAACGGGCCAGAGGAAATTGTTGAACCTACTGGCCTGAAGGGTTGGTTCCAAACCCCTGTGATTCTGAAACAAACTGTGGGGCTGCTGCTCCTGGAAGTCACTCTGCAAGTCTTGAGTCAACCTTCATTATAAACCCAAGTGCCTCAGGCAGATGAGCATAGAAATCCTTGGGGATTGTCTGGAGAGAGCCCAGCCTGTGTGCACTTCCTCAAATCCACAAGTCTCCCACAAGTCCTAAATCTCTTTTTATTCACTACAAGTGAATCTTTAATTTTCTTCTGCTCTTCTCCAGACATTAAAAAAACAACCATAGAAACCAGGTGCCTAGAAACTAAGAGAAACCATCAACTGCCAAGGGACTGTTCTCACAGTGACATAATGCATATAGTCAAAAAATGCTCAAGAAAGTTGTTGTTCAATAAAAGGCTTCCCTCCCCTCCAGTCTTCATGGCATTCAGCTTTATTTTTATCTATATATCTATAGATATCTATACATGTCTATATATATATCTATGTATCTATATCTATATATCTGTATCTATATATGAGACCTCTGGCAGCCAGACAAAATGCACTGTATTTGTGAACATGATGCATGTTTGTTCATGCTCACAAGAGACTATAATTAGTTTTGTGACAAGGTAAGAACTTCAGCACTACAGCAAACAATGTCTTGGTTTCCATCTGCTAAACTTAAAAATCGGATAATAAGCACTTGTTTCTGGATCTGTGGTGAAAAAGTCTCTCCCTAATTAGTCTGAGTAAGAAGCTTCCTGGAAGTGCTACACAGAGACCAGCATACAAAAAGATGAGCCAGATAAAGGCTCTTTACTGCTCATACACAGCCCTAAATGTTCTCAGTTTCAGAGAAGAAGGTGAACTCAACCAAGTTGCAGGACATTTTCACAAGCAATTGTATTATGAGGAGGTGGAAATTAGTTACACCAACCTGCTTGATCTTGGATTAAGAGGAAGCAGAAAGCAAGTCGCAGAGAAGCAGCATATGCATAAAAAGAGGAAAGAAAATAAATTATTGCTTTGATCATATTGGACAAAGATCATCAGAACAAGCATTAATTTTATATGCATGTTTCTAGAGTAGAAAACACAGGATAATCATCACAAAACACCCCCATTAGAGCAAACATTAACATATCATGATTTTATGCTAAAGCAGAGAGTTTCTGTACTTCAGGGAGCTTTTTACATCCAGGGGAACCTTCAGGTCCCTCTGCCCACCCAGTGCAGAACCTAGATGTGAGCTCAGGAGCCTGCTGCAAGGATCATGCCCTAAGAAACAGCTAGAGGGTAGATTTCTTCTTCAGCCAGACACAGTGCTTTCCCCCTCCCACTCCAGCCAGCCAATTGTTTTATTACCTGTCAAACTTTAGCATACAGAAGACCTGTTGCAAATTTTACCTAAGTTTCCAAGACAACTGTTTGTGAGATACAAGACAGTGGCACACAGGGAGTCTCAGCACAAGGTTTCTCCATTTAATTACACAGGGTATTAGTGGGTTAATTTGCAGGAACTGATGCTTCCATAGAGGTATGTAGCCAGAGTTGGTTATTCAAGCAATGCAGCAAAAAAAGGCAGGACAGGAAAGGGAGAATGAAAGACACCACATGCAGAAGGGCCACATCTGAGGACAGTTAATACCTCAAACCACACAGAGTCACACTTCTATTCAGCAAAAGCAACTTTCACAAGTCTCCACAACAGTTTGGAGCTGTCTCCAAACCTGCAGGAGATGGACCCGTCCAGCCACTGCCACAGCAGCAGTTTGCTATTAACTGTCCTCATCCAAAAAAAATACTCAGGTTTCAAGCAAGCTTTGAAAGCACAAGTCTGAAGCAAGCAGGTTTCCAAGCTACCATCATGACCCTTTAGGTGGTGACCCTTCTTAACCTGCCACCACACTCTGATACTTTCCACTAACCTAACCAGTATAAACATCTGATGAACTACACAACAAGACCTTCCAGACTCTCTCTACACAGGGAGTAGAGTTCCTACAATTTAAGTCCTGAGATATGTTTTGTTTCTTCAGTCATCACTAATTGACTGGAGAGTTTGTGAAGGGACAGAGCCCTCTCTGACCAGGAGCAGACCAGACTTTTCTCACTGCTAAACCAAAATCCAAGTGCCTTGTTCCTCTGAACTAAGTCCCACAGTGACCAAGAACATCTCATGTTGTGGGGCCATTACAAAAACCCCAACCACCACCAAGGTTTGTTGGTTTTGTGTTTGTTTGGTTTTTTTTTAATATCTGCCAAAAAAACAGCCAAGTGTTACCACATATTACTTGCAAGTATAAACCTAGTGTTGTTTGATTGCTGGCTGCTCCATGTATTTTCTCCAAAGTTCATTCTGAGAAGGCAAAGACCACTATAACACAGCACAACCCACTTCACCTCTTCTGCCCTTTTTAGGAACTTGTATTACAGCAACTCCCATTAAAAAGTTAGCTCAGACTTTTTCCTGGTACTTTAGAGGGACTGCTCCACATAGAAGTTGCAAACTGCTTTTTTTTTTGACCTGTTCTTCTCAAATGTCCTCAAATCTTGGTCAAGCAACACTAAATTGCTTCCTACCCTCTCACACATCTGGCTGACAACGTGCACACTGAACAGCTGTTTCAAGCAGGAAGCAGCAGAGGAAAGACATGCTTTAGCAGAGTTAAAAATTCAGGTTTATCTTTCCAACAGACACAGCAGGGAAGAGTGCAGCATTGCAAAATGGAGTGTACAGATTATGGAAAGGCCAAAGCTGAAAGGACTTAAGGAGCTCCCACTCACTAGTGAAGGACTTATCCAGAGGTTTCTCTATGACAGAGCATGTGGAGTCTGAACTACTGCTGCTGCTACTGCCTGGAAAACAGAAATGCATCCCACAGAAAAACCCAGAGAGGAAGAAACATGCAGATGGGAAGTTAGTTCTAGAGGAAAGAAACCCAGAAGGGTCAGCAACCTAGTTAAAAAAAAAGCCCAAGTTCCCATTAAGAAGCATTTGCTAAGATCCCTCCCAGATTCAGCTTGCAAAGCCACCATTTCCCAGCACAAAACACCATGCTCAGAAAGACACCTCAGTTAAAACCCATCTTCACCAGCCTATAGCTCAGAACATGCCAAGGCAGCTTCCATTTCAAGCAACAACAGCACAGAAACCAGACCCTAGTGGAGAGGGCTGTGGGTATCTGCAGAAGCAGAGGATTCAGTGACCAGGAGTCCTTTCCAGTCTTACATACACAGCCAAGTGTCTTCTTCCCCCTAGAAGGCACCATCAGCTACACAGGGACAGGTTCTGTGCAAACTCCTGCTGAGCAGCACCCTCACTTAGGGAACTTGACTCGAGCAGCTTGTTTGGAAGGTGACTAAGTCAGTTATTTCCCTCTACTCCTTTCAAGCAGCATTTTGGAGGTGGTTTCCTCTTGGGAGGGGATTAGATCAAGACTTGGTTCTTGACTGAGACCATGGTCAACCTTTTTGCTTCTAGAAATTACCAAGAGGTGAAAAATTTAGAATTGTTAAAACTGTCAAAGGTATGACAAAGGTCATTTATGACCCTACTGGGACAGATACCAGAATGGAGAGTGCCTCTAAAAAAAGAATGCTTTAACAGGAACTTTTAAACAGACGGGGGTGCTACAGGACAGGCAGCAGTCTGAAGGTCAAAATTGGTGCACTAGAGAAGCTGGGAGTTGAGCTGTAGCACTGGGCTTGACTTCTCCACTCCCCATGAAGTGTCAGAGGTTCTAGGAGCACAGCAACCTCCCTGGAAGGCACAGCACTCCCAGGTACACCGTGACCTGCAGTTCTAGGTTCAGCAACATCCCTTGGAGCTTAAGCTGCTGTGTAACATCTAACACTGGTGTAGGACAAACCAGACTTCGCCATAGGATTTCCAGAGTGCTCCCAAGGGCTGTGCAGCTCTCGTTCAGCTTTTCAGTTTGCACAGAGACACCCAAAGGTCAAGTGTTACCTCTTATGAACATAAAACAGGACACCAGAACAGTCAGTTACTGAATAGCCGTAAGACAGATGAATCCTTTGCCTAAACCACAGCCAAAATTCCCCTCTAACTATTCCTATGGTTATAAAAACCACATCTGGCTGCCACTGATCTCTGGTGTCTCCCTCCTCCCACCTCTGAGAGCAGGGGAAGTTCCACACCACCAGTCACAAGCCATACACAGCCACCTTGCGGCAACCAGGGAGCCACCACAAAGGGGGATGTCACCACAAGCACAGCTACCCAAGTGGAAGCAGATACCACAGAGCTGTCCAGCTACAGAGCACAGCAGACAGCCTGGTTTCTAGGAGAGGCATGATAATTGCAGCAGCAGGGCAGCTCTACAGCTCCACTCCTCCCCACCTGCTCTGGCTACAGTTTCTGACACCAGCTGCTGGGTGAGAGGAGGTTGGTGCCACTGGCTGGGATCTCTGCTGCCTTACCCCGCCGCTTCCTCCGCTTCTCCCCATCCTCTCCAACCTCCCCGTCGTCATCTTCATCCTCCTCTTCAGAATCACTGCTCTCAGAACCAGAGATCTCTTCCCCTGGAACAGAAGAGTGTGCTTTTGGACACGCTTTTCTCCACCCCACATCAGCTCGTGGCTGTGGCAGCAGCACCCATCCAGACCCAGCAGTGGCCGAGGGCAGCTCAGCAGCACCCGCCAGTAACTGCAGACAGCTTCCCATGGCTCAGGGAACTCGGGGAAAATCAAGATAAGCAGTTTAGGGCTGTGAAGTCAGTGTGTGGATGTTCAAGCTCAAGTGGGTGCTTTTCACAGGAAAATGTGGGAAACTGTTCTTTTCTTCCCCACATAAGTCTAAACAAAAAGCCTTTCAAAGCCAGTGAAGGCCTCTCCTGACTATTCCCAGCTAACGGACTAAACCTGAACACTGCCAGGGATGGGGCAGCCACAGCTTCTCAAGGCAACCTGGGCCAGGGTCTCACCACCCTCACAATAAAGAACTGCTTCCTGATGTCTAACCTAAATTTCCCCTCTTCCAGTTTAAAACCATTCCCCCTTGTCTTGTCACTGCCCTCTCTGATGAAAAGCCCCTCCCCAGCTTTCCTGGAGCCCCTTCAGGCACTGGAAGGTGCTCTAAGGTCTTCCTGGAGCCTTCTCTTCTCCAGGCTGAACACCCCAACTCTCCCAGCCTGGCTCCAGAGCAGAGCTGCCCCAGCCCTCTGAGCATCTCTGTGGCCTCCTCTGGACTGTCTCCAGGAGCTCCATGTCCTTTGCATCCCTCCTCCTCAAGCAGGAAGGTACATCTGTTCCCCACCCCGTGCCCACCACCCCCTGCTCCCCAGGCCAGGCTCACCTACCCAGGGCCTGACACCAAGTGTCCCCTGGTGGGCAGAGCAGACCCCAGGACACAGCTCCATGTCCCACCCCAGCCCAGCAGAGCTCACCTTCCTCCAGCTTCTTCTTCAGCTCCTCGATCTCCTTCTGGAACTGGCGGAGCAGAGCGTCCTTGGGGTCCTCGTTGATGCGGGCCTTGTTCTTGATGTTCTTGGCGCGGTTGGCGTAGCGCAGGGTGCTGATGGTCTCGTCGTAGTTGTAGTCGGCGGGACCGATGTTGGCACACTGTGACACAGAGAGCCCCTGGGGACACTGCCACGGCCCGGCACCTGCCACGGGGGCCCTGGGCTGCTGGTGGCTGAGCAGCTCAACGTGCAGCCCAGGAAACAACTGTCTTGGGCTGCAGCGTGGGCAGCAGGGCCAGAGAGGGGGTTCTGCCCTTTTAACTCAGCTCTCCTGAGACCCCAGCTGAAGAAACTGTGTTCAGTTCTAGAGCCCCCAACATTAGGACATGGAGCTCCCGCAGAGTCCAGAGGAGGCCACAGAGATGCTCAGCTGAGACCCCAGCTGAAGAAACTGTGTTCAGTTCTAGAGCCCCCAACATTAGGACATGGAGCTCCCGCAGAGTCCAGAGGAGGCCACAGAGATGCTCAGAGGGCTGGGGCAGCTCTGCTCTGGAGACAGGCTGGGAGAGTTGGGGTGTTCAGCCTGGAGAAAAGGCTCCAGGGAGACCTTAGAGCACCTTAGAGCACCTGTAGCCTGAAGGGGCTACAGGAAAGCTGGGGAGGGGCTT